CACAACTGTCATTATTATTCACTAACAAATCCGCATTGGGTTCGACATGTCGATAATCAACATCGGTGGAAAGTAAACGTATGGTGTGGCCTTCTCGACGGATGCATTGTAGGACCATACTTTATTGAAGGTAATCTTACTGGCAAAGCTTATTTAAATTTATTACAAAATGAATTACCGGAGATGTTGGAAAATATTAATTTACACACGGTTCAAAATATGTGGATACAGCAGGATGGCGCGGGTGCACATTGCGCACGAATCGTAACACATTTTTTGAATCATAGGTATTCACAACATTGGATTGGACGAAACGGTTTCATCACATGGCTGCCTAGATCACCAGATTTAACATCTCCTGATTTTTATCTATGGGGTTATCTAAAAAATACTATTTATGAAAGAGTACCTACGACACCAGAAGATCTGAAACAACGCATAACAGAAACATGCAGAAACATACCAACTGAAATATTGAGAAAAACAATTGTGGAATTTCGACGAAGAATTCAGTTATGTATCGACGAAAATAGAGGTACATTTGAACAATTGTTATAACATTAACATTAACATAAATGAGTGCACGCGCGTGCGCATGCACACACGCACACACACACACACACGCGCGCACGTGAGAGGCAAGGGGACTCACGTAAATCAAGCACCCCGATTGAATCAGATTTTCGTCACGTCCACTCCGTTGATTCCGGGTAACTCTAAGAACGAGAAATGTTCATAAACATGTACAAATTGATGCATGATTCTCTTTACAAAAAACTAACATTTTTTCGTTACTTGCTAAATTTCCTCAAAAATTATGGATTTTCATGAAAAACGTGTCAGACAATTTTAATGCAGAATTTTATGTTCTTTCAGAATATGCAATTAAAAATACTACATTCCATTTAAAAAAACAAAGTTGACCTTCATATGACCTTCAGTTTTACCTTCATCAAAAACTCAAGTCCACCATCTTATGTCCCCTTCCAAACTCTACAACTTTTGTCTGAAACATTTTTTTCTAAACTCAACAGCATTTGAAATATCCGCCTGGGGCAATTAAAATGAGTCATCCTGTATATGGTCATGTAAATTTTTGCACAACATATATGTTTTGTATGTATTGTGACGGGCACTTTGCTTTGAGATTTTATAGCGGAGGTACGGCACACCTTCGGCACGTCTTCCACAAAACAATACAAAAGTTACTCACCGAATTTAATTAGTCTGGCGCCAGCCGTGAATTCACACGAATAATTTCGACTTTTAATATAGTGATTTTCCAATCAAAGTTGACCTGACGGCACCTTGATAGCGTAGCTCAGTTGGTAAAAATACGGAGAGGCGTGAACTCAGGAGGCAATGTTTTGAAATAACGGCAGAGAAACTTGCTCGTTGAGTGTTACTTAGAATATATTTCAATAACAATAGGTGGTAGAGGTTTCTGGCCGGTTGTCCGCCAGAACGGATCTTGGCAAAATAATCACACACAAGAAATATAAAAAAAAAAACAATTCTAAAGAAAAATGCAATAAAATACGCGGGTAGCTTTGCATATGTGAAGTGACGATGTCCGGCAACTAATTTGAAGAAGGTTTTCTGTATTATATTTGCTCGTGATCGCGGTGTTGTCTATGCAGCGGAATGCGCTGCCACACGCAGTGCGTTAGATAAGGCGCGCGGTACATGCGCGATCTTCGTTTAGCGCGAGCAAAACAGTGGACATGCCGTAATATTGCGGTCCAGCGGCGACGAATTTTGGTACGATTTGCACTTTCAAATCTCAATAAAACCCGCTTATATGATATTCAATCTTTTTTAAATATCCACGCTATACCGACAATAACGAACGGAATCGGCACAAGATATACTACGACAAAAATACAAAAAAAAAAAAATAAACATTACACGCACGAATAACGACCTATATTACGCCCGGATTGTTGCGACCGTGTCCTGACGAAAGAGCAGCAGTTTGAGATAATTCTCGTACAATTATAATTTTACGCGGCAGTATCAAAAGAAAATAAATCTAACAAAATTTGCTGTGATTATTACGCGTGGTATTGAGCTGACGGTACGCGCTCAGACTCGATCCACAAATCGTATAACACGCAGAATATGCGAGAGAGAGAGAGAGAGAGAGAGAGAGAGAGAGAGAGAGAGAGCGAGCAGTCACTTACGTTGTCGGTCAATCTCTACTCAAAGCTCTGATAATTGAGAAAAAACGGCAACGGGTCCTCCGGCACTCGTGCGAGGTAGTTTTGAGGCCATCCTCGGAACTCGTTCGGCACTGTCGCACTGGGCACGGCACTCGCAGGAGACGGCTCACTCACGTGGACCACGGCTCGCACAACAATGAAGCCGGCTCCTTCAGAAATTACTCTCGGTGCCTCGCGCTGTTTTTCGCGCTAGGTAATGAGCCAATCGTATTCCTTCTTCTGCGGCGCTGGGATTGATAGCGGCCACGTGCGTCTCGGAGGCGTGTCGACTTGGGCCCTTCTCTGGCTGCATCCGACCCGCTTTGCGTCAATTTTCCGTGGAGATAAGCTTCCTTCGCCCCCCGAATGGATTCCCACCTTGTAGTAGAGGCGGGAGCTCGGGGCTCGCGGAGCGCTTGGTGTTTACGTGGTCTGACCGCCTCGCAGTAACTACACGAAACGTTTACTTTGTTCCCAGCGTGTGCTGGTGATTGTGTGGCCGGGCATTGATCGCCAGCTTCTGCTGGCGGATCTGTTTGGTCATATCGCCACAATGGAAGTGTAATCTGACGGGACAACTATGGACCACAGAAGGTGAGCATTCGGTGTCCTCGGGGGCTTTGGGCTCCCGCGCCGAAGCGGGTGGCGGGGCTTAAGGTCGCGGGCGGTGGTCACCCGCTCAGAGGTAGGCCCGTCTGCAACCAACTAAGAGGAAACTCCCAAGTTAAGGTGTGAGCGACCGTGCCGAGAGCTGCGTGGCGCAAGAGGAATTGCGTCGTGAACGGTGCCTCCTGGATACCGGGCGAAATCCAAGAGTACGGAGCCAAGCCCCAGCCATTCGCGGCTCTGGCTGGGTGAGACCGCGCGACCGCGATACTCGTGGAAACATAATAAAAATAAACGCAAATGAAATTACCCCTAAATCAGTCCCCAAGAGCGAAGCCTCCTCTGGAGGTGAACGCCCAGGGGAATCTCGCAGTGCGGGAGCAGGCTCAGAAGCCCGAAAATACCGCATAAGATATAGCGGGGCCGCTAGGCGCCGTTATAATAAATAGATGCTAGCCGGGGAGAGTGGGGCCAATAAGGTCCCCTCTACCTCCGCAGCTTCCTGCTCAAAAGGTGGAGCTGGGAGTGGGCGGGCTTCGGGTGGCGCGGCAAAGCGCGCCAGGCCGGAGCACGCTACTCCCAGCTCCTCAAAAAATCGCCAGGGCAAGAGACCCAAAAATGAAGGGTTGTACAGGCGACAAAAGGTCTTGTCAGGATGGCCCTCGTACTGGAGGGCTACCCTGATAAGAAAATGGGAGCCGGTGAGGTGGTTGAGATCAGAAAACTGATCAGGTCTGTCATCCTCGGCATGTCTGAGAATGACAAAGCCTCCACCTTCACTGGTTCCTGGGAGAGAGATGGCGCACTCATTGTTGTGTGCACCAACAAAGAGTCGGCGGAGTGGCTTAAGGGCCACTCTTCCGATTTAAAAGTCAGAGGAACTCCTCTGCGTGTGCTGCCGGTTGGTGAGCTACCTAAGCGTCATCGGGTGGTAATACATATGGAGAAACCTGAAGTAGGGGTTGAGGAGGCTTTAAAGCTCCTCAACCAGCAGAACACAGGGCTGGCAACCAGCGATTGGGTCGTCACCAAGGGGACGTATAGGAGGGACGCATCGAGCGCCCACTTCTCCTGTCTGGTTGGCGACTCGGCGATGGAAGCCTTGAAGCACTGTGGCTTCAGGCCTTTCTTCGGTCTCGGCCGGGTCACCGTTAAGATGACGGGACGAAAGCGCGAGGAAGCGACGGAGAAGGAGATGGAGTCGGAGGGTGTCGGGACTGCCTAAAAATGACTTCTCTCGGCATCCAAATGACGCAAATTAACTTGCATCACAGCAAGAGCCCCTCGGCTATCCTAGCCAGGAGCATGGCTGTGATGCAAGTATTGCACTAATCCAAGAACCATGGATTGTAAATAGTGCAGTAAAGGGACTGAATGGGTGCGGCTGCTTATACAAAGCACACTCAGAAAAAAGAGTAAGATCATGCATTTTAGTAAAAGGATTAAATGCTATCTTTCTGCCACAGCTCAGCAGCAAGGACCTCACAGTCATCAAGGTGAGAGTGAAGCTGGCCGAGGAAGAAGACATAGAAGTATTAATAGGGTCAGTTTATATGCCGTATGACTCCACAGATCCACCACCACATGAAAAAATAAAAACCCTGGTGGCCTGTGCGAAAGCCAGAGGGCTCGAACTTCTGGGTTGCGATGCGAACTCCCACTATGTAGGATAGGGAAGCACAGACACCAACCTGCGGGGAGAAAATGTGCACGACTACCTAATGGGCACAAGATTAACCATTCTCAACAGAAGAAACGAGCCGACATTCTTGGACTTCAAAAGACAAGAAGTCATCGATATTACGGTATGTACAGAGAGGGTGGCGAGTTTGGTGAGAGACTGGAGAGTAAGCCCTCTGGGTCGGACCACAGACATATACGCTTAACTCTTCAACAAATACCGCAAATCAGCTGGGTTCGCAACCCACGAAAAACCAACTGGGAGGGCTGTAGGGCTGACCTTAAGGCCCAACTTGCTATGGCCCCAACCAGTTTCAGAACCAAAAACAACTCAGAAAACGCGGCGGACTTTTTAAAAAACGCCATTACAAACGCCTTTGAATTAAACTGCTCACCAAAACCCAGGAATCCGATGAACAAGATCCACTGGTGGAATAAAGAGCTTGGTAAGCTCAGGTTGGAAACGAGAAAGAAATTCAGCAAGGTAAAAAAAACAGGACTTGCAGTACACTGGGAGGCCTTTTGAAGGTCCCAACGAGAGTACAGCAAGGAAATTAAGAAATCAAAGTGCAAAAGCTGGAGACGTTTCTGTGAAAGCATTGAGAGCGTCCCGGAGGAATTCAGGCTTCACAGAATCCTCAGTTTGGATCACTGTCCCCAATTAGGCTGTCTCAAGCTCCCAACGGAAAATGTCACTGAGGAGGCAACGGACACATTGAAACATTTAATGGAAGTCTACTTCCCAAGTTTTGATCATAACATACAACCCTGCCGGCCGAAGCCTAGGGAATATAAACCCAAGGACTGGCGTCTGGCAGCTGAGGTTGTTCTTCCAAAGGGAGTTGAATGGGCTGTTAAAACCTTCTCTCCCTATAAATCACCTGGACCGGATGGAATCTACCCGGTTCTTCTTCAAGAGGAGCTGGGGGTTCTCACAGGTGGAAGCGGTGCACTAAAAACCTAACAACTTTTGTTTTAAACATAAACGCTTTGTTTTCAAAATGTGGTATATCAACAAAGAACACTTTGTTTGTGTATAACATTTTTACTATACAGGGTGTTTCAGAACTATGGGATCAAACTTCTAGGGGTTATTCAGTGCAACAGTAGAAAACATTTGAGTATAGG